TTGGAGCACAAATCTGATGAGGAGCCCTTGAGAGAGCTGGGGCTGTTTAATCTGGACAAGAGGAGACAAGGTCTTGAGAGACCTTATCACTCTCTACAGCTACCTGGAAGGAGGTTGCAGTCACACAGGGGTTGGACTCTTCTCCCAGGTAGTCAGCAACAGAATGAGACAACACAGTCTCACGCAACACGAGGGGAGATTTAGGTTGGACATTAGGAAGAATTTCTTCACAGAAAGGGTGATTAGACATTGGAATGGGCTACCAGAGAAGTGGTAGTGACACTGTGAAGATCTTTAAGCAAAGACTGGACATGGCACTTGGTGCCATGGTCTGGTTGACAAATAAGCGTTTGGTCATAGATTGGACTTGATGATGTGAAGTCTTTTCCAACATTACTGATTCTGTGATTCTGTAATGCAATATGGAAAGGATGCTTCCCTCTTATTGCAGACCTCCCTCCCAGAGAGCCTCACCTGCATCTGCATGGATTCCTTCACACGTGGGGGCACGTGGATGTCCTTGATCTCGTAGCGCAGACACCGGATGCCCCAGCAGTCTGAAGCCTGGTTGATGGCATCCACAATGCTGGCATTGAGGGACTCCCGCTCCTGGATGGCACAAAAGAAATGGCAGAGCAGAGAAGAGGGGCTTAGCATGAGAGACGTGTCAGGAGGGAAACACACACCTCCCTCGGAGGCCAAGGTCTGCCAGAAAAAAACATCTCCACAGGTTTCGGGAAGGGTTAGGTGCTTCCTGCAGCTGTTGAAGGGTCACCATCTCCTAGGGAGAGCAGTGACCCACACTGAAGCTGCTGGGATACAACATTTGGCATACATCTGGATACAAGAGAATGCCAGCATCTCCAGTTTCTTGCCAGCAAATGAAGTACAAGGATTACAGTACCCTATGACACAGGTGAGGGATATTCACCACTGGGGCTGAGTAAAGAGTGACTGACTCAAGAAAGGCAGCTGGACCAGCTGGGTCTGGGCACATACCACCCATCATCCCCTCCAAATAACCCAGGGCAGGGCAAAAAATAGCTCCTGTTAAAAACACAACTGAAAGAAGACCCATCTCCAAGGATTCACCAATAGGTCAACTGAAACAGAAGCCATAAGCCCTGTAAGCAAAGGGCATTTTGCTGTTAAGCACATCAGTCTGGCCATGCAGGCTGTCCTGGGATTTTGGGAGACACTGTCAGCTCTGTGATCCACCTCCCCAGCTCACCCGGAAGACTCTGTCGAGGGAAAGTTTGCCAAGTTCAGATCTCATGGTAGTCTGGGCCAGCTGGGTCACTGCATACTCAGGATCTTCCACCCCATAGCTGGCCTGAAGAGCAGAAGCACAAAACAGAGTGGATAGGAATGCCAAGAGGGACCCTGAACAAGACAGGAGAGACAGAGAGTGCTAAAGAGAGAAATCTGCCAGACACCCCTGCTGAAAACATGGGAGTCTGGAGCCTTGGGAGTGCCCAGCCCACGTGCCAGGCAGGACACAGAGGATGGAACAAACATTTTGGGGAGCAGAGAGTGGGCAGAGCTAGGAGAAAGGTGTCGAAGGGGCAGGGATGTACCTTGTAGGGGTCCATAACCCGCAAGTAGAGCACACCATCGATCTGCAGGGTGACATTATCTGTCAGGAGAGAACAGAACCTGTTCACTGAAGCAGCACAAACAAAACACAGAAACCCCCTCTTCCACAGCACAGCTGGGCAGGCTCATCCTTTTTCACCCTGACACAGCTGTATGGCACAGAAGAGGATTGGCTGAAATAGATCTTCTTATCTAAAGGCTTTGTAAAAAGTACCTTACATTCCCTGGACAACACTGTAATGTTTTAACACACAACAGGTCTTGACTTTCCCAATAGAAGCAATTTCACACTGTAGCTCTTGTAAATAAAGATTTAAGCGGGGAAAAAACAGAACAAACCACTTAAAACTAGAAATATAACAGAGCCGTCCATTAACATCACATCCACTAACATGTTCTAAAATGTTTTTAACAGAAACAGAATTTTCTTTTGTGCTTCAATACAGGAAAACACCTGAAAAATGTATTTCTGGCCAGGTACATTCAAGTCAGCAAGAAGGGGCAGCTGCAGCCCAGAGAGAGCAGACACACAGGAATGGGACAAGGAGGAATGGCCTTAAGCTGATGGAGGACAGGCTTAGATTAGATGTTAGGAAGAAGTTCTTTACTGTGAGGGTGGTGATGCATTGAAGTAAGTTGCCCAGAGAAGCTGTGGATGCCCCATCCCTGGAAGTGTTCAAGGCCAGGCTGGACAGGGCTTTGAGCAGCCCAGCCGAGTGGAACATTTCCCCTGTCCATGGCACAGGGGCTGGAACAAGACAAACTTTGAGGTCCTTTCTAACCCAAATAATTCAGTGATCTTGTGATTTTAAAGCCAAGCCTGGGTACCAAGAGACAGGGCTGAGTGCAGAAGCTTGGGACAATTCCACTCATCCTCACATTGTCCCTTGCTCACCCCAGATGCAGCAGAAGGAAAGGGGCAGGACACAGAAGCTGTTCCTCACCCAGTGTGACAGCTGACTGCTCTGGGACATTAATGACGATTTCTTTGAGACTCTGGACATAACGAATCCGATCCAGGAGAGGGATGAGGAAGTTCAAACCCTGGGAAAAGGGTGGGATTAGATGGCTGATACACTAGAGAGAGTCATGCAAACAAAGCCCATGCCACACACTACAAACACATTTCACACACAAGGAACTTCAGCTACTCAGTGCTTTTAACACCCCACCAAGCAAAATTAGTCCACAGGCAGCCAAAAGGATTTCAGCCTGGGAAACTGAGCCCACCACCCCTCTTGGATCCTCGTGCAAAGGACGCGCCTCGCTACAGCTTTAGGAACCTGCTGAATCCAGAAGGGGAGAAAAGCTGCTCCTTACAGGCTCGAGGATTCGGTGGAACTTGCCCATCCTCTCCACCACCCAGGCCTCCTGCTGCGGCACAAAGAGCACCCCGATGTTCATGGGCAGCCCGGAGTTCCAGCGGCACGGAGCCGGGGCCAGCCGTGCCGCACGCTTCAGCTGCTGGGAGTGCTGGGGGAAGGAGAGGGAGCAGGGCTGAGACAGCTGCTGGCATCTCAGAGCCCAGCTCCACACCTGCTACCCCATCTGGGCTCATGACCAGGAGACCAGGGCAGGAAACAATGCCCCTAACAAGCCCATGCTGAAAGGCTTTTCCCACAGGAATGAGGCCTAGGCACCAGGGACAGTCTTCTCCACTGGTGCAGGGGGGATCACTCCCATGCCAGAGCTTTCTGCATGTCTCCACTCCTCTCACATCCACCCTGGAGTGGGGAATGAAGCCTCCCTGCCACCATAAGGGCAACAAAGGTGTGTGCATGTGGGTCTCTTCTGCTCCACTCACCCCCTATAACCCATTCAGGCCCACTCCCCCACCTCAGTCCCAGGCCACCCCTTTCCAACAACCTGTCCCTCCCCAGTTCTGGCTGCCTCCAGGGCTTCCCACAAAGAGCTGTTTTGTCCAGGCATTCCCCCACCCTCCTCCCCATGGACCCTCACTCACACAGCTTCCCTCAATCTCCCCCCATCCCAACCCAGCTCACACCTCCACAGCCCCACACATCCATTTCTCCTACAAGAACCCAGACCCACCTCACCACTGCCCATGTTCAGCCAGCCCCCACTGGCCCTCCCCATTCCCATTTATCCACAGCCTCCTTTGAATGCCCCCCCTGTACCCCAATCCCTGCCCAGTTCACCACCACCATCCCAGCATCCACAGACCCCCAACACCCCTCCAAAGACCCCTCTCTCTCAGCCCCCCTTGTACTTCCACTTGTCCTCTGCATCCCTCCTCCTCACACCTCCTCACACCATGCATGGTGTCCCCCAAAACCTCAACAGCACCCCTCCACTGAACCCCCACCTCCTGAGATACCTCCTCATTCATTTGTCTTCTGCACCACACCCCTCTCTCTCCTTACTCTCTATCCCTGTGCATCCCGCTGCCCACATCGCAGCTCTTCCCAGCCCCAAACACTCCCCTACTGACCACCGTCTTCAGCTCCTCTATACCTGTCTGCTCTCTACATCACCTCCCTGCCCCTCACCTCTCTCCCTGCCCGGCTCCCCGCACTCTGCCCCTGCTCAATCCCGTGCCCGTCTGCCCACTGCACACCCCCCGCACCTTCCGCCGTCCCTGCCCAGCTCTCCCGCACCGAGCCCCCACACCGCCAGCCCTTCTCCGGGCCGCAAACACCGACACCGTGCTCCCACCGACTCTCTCTCAGCCCCCCCGTACCCGTTTATCTTTTTCACCCCGCCGTGCCCACACAGCCCTGCTCCTGCCCAGCTCCTCGCCACCACGCCAGCACTCTGCCGGAGCCCCAACACCACAGACCGGGGTATCTCCTCAATCCCCCACACCCATTTGTCCACAGCCCCCTGTAACCCCAATCCCTGCACAACTCCCCCTCGCCTCTTTCTCGGACCCGCGAAACCACCGTCCCACCAACCCCCACCTCCGACCCTCCGTGCCCGTCCGCCCTCTGTCCCCCCACACCGCTTTACCCCATCCCTGCCCAGTTCCCCCAGCACTTCCCAGACCGCCAGCACCATCCCTCTCATCCTGGCGCCCCCAATCCAGATCCCTTCTCCGAGCCCCTCCAGCATCCGCTACCCGGACCTTCCCCACGTGGGCACCCCCCGAACGGGGAGTTCTCCGCGTTCCCTCCCCACCCGCCCTCACTGCCCGCACCTGCAGCAGCCCGAGGCCGGGCCGGGCCCGGATCCCCGCCCGCGACAGCATCGCCCCCTCCGCCCGCCCCGCTCGGCGCCGCCGCTCCCGCACTCCCGGAAGGCCCCTGCGCCGCGCCGCTTCCGGGTGCGCCGCCCGGATCGGTCCCTCTGACTCCTCCGGCCGCGGCCCCCGGTTCCGCCCGCCCGGCTGCCCGCGATTCTGTACCGCCCCCCTCGGGGCGCGGCAGCCCCGCTCTCGTTCTGGAGCTCCAAATGGACGTTTATTAAATTAGAAACGAACACGAAAAGTACCGGCACGGCCTTCGCGAGCACGCAGGGCCACGGCGAGAGGGGCAGCCCCGGTGACCTGGGGCGAGGGGGACTCCGGTGTCATGGCGGCCCCCGAGAGCCGCTGGCCAGGGCAGTGGGGAGCGGCGCCCGGTGTTTTTGGGGTTCAGATCCACGGTTTGGGGGATCCAGGGCCCCGTTTGGGGGGAGCAACCCCCGGTGTGAGGGGGGTTCAAAGGCTCCCTGTGGGGGTTCAGGCCCCACTGTGGGTATATGGGCAGGCTCAGGCTTCCTGACCCCAGAGCAGCAGGGCCGGAGCCCCTCGGCCGCCCCCGGGCAGGACCTCGCCGCCACAGCCCCCTGTCCTGGCCCATCCCCACACTGAGCCTCAGCCCCAGGGGTAGGAGTTGATGGGGTCGGGCCTGCCCCCCTTTTGTTCTCTCTGACGAAGGGGCTGAGGATCTCCACAGCCTGGGCTGGCAGGGGAGCCTTGCTGAGACCCTCAGAGGGCAGGCAGGTGATACAGACAGGAAATGTGCAAGCTTGTTTTACCCTTGGCCCTGTCCCTCTGACTGCCCCAGTCTGGATTCTCTCAGTCCTGTTCCTGAGCAACCAACCCAACTCCCAGAGTTTGATTTCCTCTGTTGCTTCCCCATTTCCCTATTTTTCTAAGCTGGGGTTCCTGACCATCCTCCAGCCCCCAATCACCCTGCCGGCAGACCCTGCCCAAAGCTGCCTCCTGCATGGGATTCACCCCCAGCCACAGACAGTGCAAAGTTCCTTTTTTTTTTTTGGCAATCTTCTCAGATTCACAGCTCACGTGCTCTGGAGGCTCTTGCCCAAAGGGCTATCCCCATATTCCTGCAAAGAGCTCCAGGTCCCCATCCACGTGGCAGCTGTGTCTCTTACCTTCAGGAACCTGGCAGTGGCCACTTCCTTGACAGCCTTAGGTCTCTTGGGGTCTGGCTTACCCTAAAAGACTGAGAAGATAAGCACAAGCCTCTCCAAGCTGCTTGGAGTTGGGCTGGCCCTGCAAAGCTGGTGCCAGCGAGGCTCAGCCTGTCACTGGGCTTTTAATACACCCCTGATCTGGGCGCTGCACCCTGTGTGAGCACTGGGTCACTCTCTTCCATGGGCTGAGGCCTCACAGTCCCCACAGCCCTGCCTGAACATCCCCTGGTGCAGGCAGGGCTGAGGGGAAGAACAAGCACAGCACCTCTGATGCTCTGCACGAGCCTCCTCTGCGCTCCCAGCAACAATAAATACTAATAAATACAAACTTTTCCACGCTTTCTGCTCCCAGACCCGAGACCAGTGTGGGTGGTCTCGCTCACAACTCCAGTCCAACTCTTCACTCCACACCCACCCACCTCAGCCACAGCCAAGTCTCCAAGCTGGGAGCAGTGCCAGCAGAAGGCTTGGACATGTCCCTGGGGTGCCAGGGCTGCTCCTCAGCCCCTGCCCCTCTTGGTGAAGGCCCTTGGGTGATCCCAGCCCTGCTGCAGAGCGTGGTGTCCGTGCTGGTCAGGAGGGGTGGGTGATATCTCAAAGCAGTGCTTGCTGGCCCTTTACTCATCTCTCCCCAGCCTGCTGGGCTGGAGGCTCCCCAGTGGCCCTGGGGGGCAGGGAGTGAAGAAGGTCAGGCCCGGGGTGAGTAGCAGGGGTTCCGCGGCATCTCTGTGAAGGATTTCAGTTCGTAGGGGATCCCCGAATCCACCTCGATCGACTTGCGCGAGAAAAGCAGCCGAATGTCATCATGAAGGTAGATCTTCCCTGACTTGGAGCTGTGAAACCTGCATGGAGACGAGCAGGGCAGAGGGACCTCAGGCTCCCCAGGCAAGGGCAGGGCATCCTCAGTGAGGGCACAACCCCCTTGACTACTTTGGCCCCTGGTCAATGGGGCCACCCTCTGGTTGCCTTCAGAGGGACACGGACAGCTGCCCTTGGGCAGGGTGGCAGCTCCAACCTCTCCAAAGGAGCAGCTGGTCCCTGCTCCTCCCCAGTCCCTCCTCCTGTCTTGGCTTGGGACAAGACAAGAGAGGAGCCGAGGGATGACCTTGGGGCAGATGCCCATCCCCCTGGCATGCTTTACCTTAGATGCATCAGGTAGCAGAGGACCCTGCGGGGTGGGCTGGTGCCCAGTGGGTCACTGGGGGCCACTGTGCACCCCTCTTCCTCCCCCACGGGCACCAGGAAGATGCGATGGCGTAGGAAGGTCATGTGGTTGGCCGGCATGTCCTGGAAGTCGTATGTCACCAAGAACATCTTCACCACAGTCTTGTTGGGGTTAAATAAGGTCTGGGGGCAGAGGGGTAGGGGGTGAGACTGGGAAGGATGCAGGGCAGAGTTGGGAGCAGAAGCTGCTGGACCAAGGATCCAGAAAGCCCCACACAAGTCCTAGAGGGCTTAGCCTGAGTGCCATAGGTCAGTTCCTCCCACCCACCTTCACACCTGTGCTCCTTTTCCCCACATCCCATTCCCACTGCACATAAGCGCTTTCTTGCCAAAACCCTCACCAACCTCTTCCTTCCCTGATTCACCCATCACCTTGTCTCCCTGACAGCACCCTAGGTACCCTGTAATCCCCTCTGCTATGCTGTCTTGGTGGCCATGTAACCTCTCTGCTGGAGACACCCTTTCCAGCTGCTGCCCTGCCTAACAACATTATGGAACATATCCTCCCGCAAGCAGGGCAACCAGAGCCCAACCAGCCCCATCCCCACAGTGCTACTGCAGGCCAGGGAATGACTCACCACTTGGATGGTTCCAGCTTTGGGGACACTGTAACCCTTCTTTCCCAAGGCCTCCAAGTCAATCACTCCCTGGGGCAAAATAAACAGCATGTGAGAGAGGGAGAAAGCCAAGGGAAAGCCCAGCTGGGAACCAGCACGGACCTGAGACTCCCTCACTGGGAAAACTTGGCACAAATCAACAAGAAAACCCCCAGCTCAGCCCCTCTCCAAACCAGGAGAAGAAACAGGGAGGTGGTGACAAGAGAGGTGATGACAATGACAACCATGAAGCAGCAGGGCCTGGGTATGTTCCCTCTTCTTTCCCTTTTTGCTTTTTGGGTTAAAGACCACTCCTGGCACAGGCAGCCATCTCCACAAGCAGGTGGTTGCTTGAGCCACCCTGTAGAGTGAGGGGCTGCCCCAGCGTGTCAGGGCACAGCCCCCCCAGCTCCCCCACATCCATGTACCAGGAAAGGCGAGGGCACGCTGTGTTCAGAGATGTCGAAGTAGGTGACGTCGACAGGCAGGGTGACATGCTGGGGACAGTAGGAGCCACTGGCACCGATCTCTGCTGTGAAACCCTCGATCCTCCCCGATGGTGCAAAGCGCCCCTTCAGGATGGACTCCTGAGAGGGAGGGAAGAGTTAGGGAATCTCAAACACCAGCCCTACCCCCTGCCTCAATGCTCCAGGTGAAGTCATCCCCATCCTCACTGCACCCAGCTGACTGCTTGCTGTGTGTGCCCAGAGACCTCCCTCTGAGACAGACCCACCCTGAACTGCTGGGATAACACCAGCCATCTAACAAGAAGCAGTGAGAGTGCCTCGGCTCAGCCTCACAGCACCCATCTCAGCAGGTTCCACCCAAGGATCTGTTGGCTGAGCCATGCTGCTGGTGGGGCTGTGTGGCGGCGACTGCACACCAAGCCTTTTGGGGACATTCAGCCCAGCCCCACAGCAGGGCTCCCATCAGGTTCAGCCTCTCACACTCATCGCTAGCCCTGCATGGAGCCCCTGGGACCCACCTCTCCCCAGCAGATAGGCACCATTACCTCAAAGTTGCCCAGCAGAGCATGGCTGACAGTGGTGGTGGCCCAGGGCACTGTGGGGGACCTAGTGCTCCTCCGGAGGTTGGTCCGGAAATGTCGCCTTGCAGTGAAGAGAGAAGACTGGTGTTGGACTGAAGAGCACACAGCCCTGGATTGTCCCTGTCCCTGGGAATGTGGAACCCTCTCCAGGTACTTTTGCTAGAAGTTGAACCAACTTTCCTACTTCCCAGGGGAAGAAGAAACCCCACCCTCCACTCCCCATCTGTGGCCTTATGGAGGGGAGATACATGGGCCAGGGCAGGGCAGGGACTCAACCCAAGGTGAACCTCCCACGGGGCTGCAGTGCACTGAGGTGGGCAGGCACCCTGAGCCCCCACGTCCATCCCACAGGGCTGCCAGGACACTCACGATTTGAGACGCAGCCCACTCTTCAGCCTCCTCCCAACCGCAGTGCAATCTGAAGAGCTCTGCAGAGTACACGAAATGGAGAACTGTGTTAGGGCAGCAACCAGGGCCCACGCCCCCCTGGGAGGTGCCATCATCCCTTGCCTTGCCCCATATTCCCATGAGGGTCCCAGCAGATGGAACAGGCTCCTGTCCTTGGGCAGCCATCAGCAGCCTCTGGAGGAGTGGCCAGCAGAGCAGCACAAGGACTGGGGTGTCTGGTGGGGAAACGGGGATGCCCAAAACCTGAAGTGGCTCAGCTGGGAATGAGGGTGTTGGTACCCAAGGGTACAACACACTGTTCCTCCTTTACAAAGCAGGTCTCAGGAGCAGCTCCAGTGACAAGACACCTGTAGACAGAGCCATGCAATGACACCTTCTTGCATCTCCCAGGGACTGGTGACACGTACAAGGACACTCCCTGACCAGCCTCTGAAAAGTTCTGTCCCCTGGTGATTCATGCAAAGTCCTCAGCAGTGCCACCAGGCAGAGAGGTGTGTTGCCAACCCCTAGCCACAGCTAGGATCCTCAGCTGTGAGGTGGGGGGGGTTAAAGCCACAGTCACACTGCAGCCTCCTTTTAAAGATGTCCCCTTTTCAGGGGCTTTCCCTTCTGGAAGCCACACAAAGGGTAGCACAACACAAAGGGATGATGGAGCTGGCTGGCATGACCGGGCGGGAAAACCCAGGGAAGCTGCTGGAGGGCTTCACTCTGCAAGGACAGTGCTGGGGGCAGCTGGGCTGGGGGACAGTCATGAAAAAGGCAGGCAGCAATGGAGCTGTGTGCCATGGATGGTGTGTCCCATCTCCAACTGCAGGAAGCCAGGGTAGCTCTGACATCAGTTCCTGTGGGTCCCCACACCATGGGATGCCCCAGAGGAAAAAAAGAAGGTGCCAGGTCTGGCCTGAGCCTGCTGCAGCCTCAGCTGGCAGGACAGAGTGAGGGCAGGGGGCTGATAAGAAGGGCAGGGTAAAAGGGGGAATCGGAGGCAGTTCCTGCGCTGCTAGGGAGGGTTGCAAACCTCATATGTCTGCCCCATTGCTGACAGCTCGTGGCAGCTTGAGAACATGCCACAAGCACCTCAAAATGACAGAAAAGCCAGTGGCATCTCTGTACACAGCATTGGGCTCCTTGGTCAAAGCATGTCCAGTCCCACTGCCTGCCACCTGTCACTTGCTCTAATGGGCACCATGGCCAGGAGTTCAAGCCATCCCACACATCTGCCTTCCTCCTCATCAGGCAGGCAGAGGCCAGCCCTCCTCCCAAGCTTGCTTAACATGAAGCCATCAGGCACCAAAAGTGGCTTCATGACATGTCCAGCTCTCACTGCCATGGAGTGGTTGTCTCCTGTCCAATCAAGGCTCTCCAGGAGAAAAAGCCAGTTGTATACAGAGGATCCAGTGACTACAAGATGTCAAGAGCTGGTTTAAACAGACCATGTGTGTCAGGGCTGACTGTCAGCTGCTGCCTTGCTCACACCAGTATCGCAACTCAGGGACAGGACAGGGTGTGTGCCACAGTGGACCACACTGCCCACAAGCACAGTCCTGAGCTCTGGGCACCCCCAGACCATTCCCTGCTTTCTCCCACGAGCAATGCTCACCTTGGCTGCAGGAAGCAGGTGATTCCAGAATGGAGCTCCCTTGGCATCAGTGCTGCGGCAGGCTGTGGGCACAGGATGGCATGGCAGGACCCTCTTCTTCCTTGCTGGTGGGGACAGGCTCTCATCCTCAGAGCAGGAGTCGGCCATAACCTCACCAGCAGGCAGCAACTTCCTTTTGGCTGGGCAGGTGCTGCTGAGCTGGCTGCTCCCACAGGGTGTCATCTCCTGGGAGCTCAGGCTGCTGGGCTCAGGGCTGAGCGCTGTCTGCGGAACTGGGGACTCCCTGCACCCATTGGCCACTGCTGGCCCTTCCGCTTCACCAGCCCTGCTGCTGTGAGCTGGGCTGCTCCCTGGCTTGTCTCTCTTCCCACCAGGGTCCAACTGGGTTGTTTGTGCAATACTGTGCAAGTCAAGGTGAAGTACATTGTGGCCACTTGCCGGCTCCCCATTCTCTCCATAGTCTATGGGCTGATCCCCTGATGAGACAGGGCAACTGTCTCTCATGTGCAAAGTACTGCAAGCAATGTGCTGGGGTCAGGAGGAGGAGGAGGAAGAGGAGGAGGAGGAGGAGAAAGAGGAGAAGGAGACATCCTGCGACTTGTCCTCTCTGCTGGCCTTGGGGCTGTGGCTAGGGCTGCCCTCACAGCGGTGCTCCACCACCCGCAGCCCACTGTGGGAGAAGTGCTGGGCAGAGCCACAAAGGGAGAGCTCCTCCACCAGCAGACCATCCTCAAAGGTATCGTCATCATCCAGGGAAGGCTGCCCAGGGCCCCCATCCACCCCCCTGTCACCCCAGTGAGTTCGTTTGGGATCTCGCCCCCCCTCCAGAGTTCTCTGCTCAGGGTATCCCCTCTTGACAGCTGGCCGGGTGCCTGCCCGCTGCTCCGTGCTCTCAGAGGAGCTGGAGAGATGGGAGAAGATGGACACCTGGTAAACCTTCTGGCGCTTGATCTCTGTCTCATTGTAGCCCATGAGGATGCTGCGGTGGGTGCAGCACTGCGAGGAAGGCTCCAAGGGTGTCTCCCCCCTGGGCCGGGACAGGCTGGGCTCTGTGCTGCGCTCCGGGGGCAGAGACGTCTCTGTGTGGATGTGCCGCATGGAGCCTCACTTGCTGGGACTCCGAGCAGAGCCCATGCAGCAGCAGGAGGGGGGCTGTAAAGTGCCACAGGTTAGGGTGCAAGGGCAGGGGGTGGAAGCTGGACCCCCTCTCACTCAGGATCTCTGTGTGAGCCCTCTACTATGAGGCGCTCTGCAGCATGGCATCTGGAAAAAAAGAGAGCAGAAGGATGAGCATCAGCCATGGAACTCCATCCTCATCCGGGCTTCTGGATGCAAGGGACCCACTGGGACATGGTTCCTTACACAGTCCACTTGAATCTCCCTCTCCAGGGACAGAAGAGGAACGAGGCTGATGTGCCTCTCTGGGAAACCCTGAGGTATCACCCAACTGCAGGTTCAGCATGCACTTCCTGGCTCAGGCAAGGAGAGAAGTCTCCAGGCAGGCAGGATACACCTGTGGACAAGTCTGGACAGGTGGGGAGGAAGAGGCCTGCCCTCTGCCAGGGACACGCTTGTGCTGTTGTGCAGCACAGGAGTCAGGCAGGTCAGACCAGTCCCAGGGGCTCAGGCCTGTAATCACCCCTTTGGGCAAGAGCAGCAGCATCTCCCAGTGCTGGCCAAGACATCCTGCCCTAGCCATGTGCACTGAATGAGGCAGGGCTGGTGCCAGCCCCACGACAGGGGGGACAGGAACCTGGCCTAACATCCCTGTTACCTCTCCCAGCTTGGACCAGGCATCTCCAGCACCTCAATCAGCAGCTGGGAGGTACCAGGGTCACCATCCACCCACTCCTGCCAGCTCCAAGGGCCTGCCCTTCTCTGTGCAGCATGGTGCCTCACTTTTGATTTTCAGTCCAGTTTGAGAGCTGTGAGAATCCTGTCCACATGTTGGTTTGTTTCAGGCATGAAAAATACTGAAATAGCTGCAGAGCTGAGGAGATGCAGGAAAAGTCACCAGCAGACTGAGGACAAACTGCCCATGCCTGGCAGCTCTGCCATTTGCCTATATTTGCAGCTGTCCTGATCTTGTGGAGCAAGGGCTTAAGGGCAAGTGAGCAATAGAGAATTTTGTTCTCCACGTGGAGAATGTGGAGGCTATGTGGAGAATGAGCCTGCATATGGTATTTTGACCCTGCTGGGATGTGGATGTGAAAATGGCAGGCCAAGGTGCTTGAGACCAGGGAGTCTGTTTAAAAGGAGTGATAAAAGGTATAACCATGCACCAGGATACGTTGGGGACTGACTGGCTGGAAAGCAGCATAACAGAAAAGGCTTTGGGGGTCCTGGTAGGTGCCACGTTGACCATGAGCCAGCAATATGCCCTTGCAGCAAAGAAAAATAGTGCACAAGGCATAGGAATAACAGCAGGTTGAGCAAACTGATCCTCCCTCTCTGCTTTGTGCTGGTGAGGCCACATCTGACAGAGTGAAAAATAGGGACACCAAAAAAATTAAGGGAATGGAGCATGTGTCCTATGAGAGCTGGTCCATGTATAAAAGCACACTGCAACAGCTGGGACTGCTCAGCCTGGAGAACAGAAGGCTCAGTGAGATCTAATCTAGATATCTAGATAAGAAGTTCCCTCTGGATATCAGAAAACACCATTTTGTTTAACTGTGACCAAGAACTACAACCAGTTATCTAGAGATACTGCAGAATCTTCATCCTTGGAGATATCCAGAAGTCATCAGGACAAAGTCCTGAGCAACGGCTCTAGGTGGGGCTGCTCTAGATAACCTACAGATGTCCCTGCTGACCTCAACCCCTCTGTGTAGCCCCCACCACTGCAGCCCTCCCTGGCTGCCCCCCACACTGACTTACCCCTGCTTGTGTCCGGATTAGCCCACGTGCCCCGCAGCAGGCGGACGTTGGCACAGCTCGCTGAAGACGCCTGCCACTCAGGCACCCCCCAGAAGCGGCGTGGCTGCCGTGGAATGGCTCCCACCATCACGGTGTGCCTCCGAACCTCTGCAACGTCCTCTCCAGCTCTTCAGTGTCCACAGTGGCTCTGAGGGCAAGGAGAGGGGCAGATGCAGGGCTGGGGTGATTCAGATGCTTCCTGGGAGAAGGGCAGGAGGATGCTTCCTGTCTGCAGGGTCACGCAGGTAGGGAAAGCAGCATTTAGGCTCAGCCTTTCCCAGCCTCCCAAATCAAAGGCCACATACATTTCAGCCACCTCAGGCAGTGCTAACACCTTGATTTCCATTTAAACCACAAATATTTTAAGCTAAGCTGTGAACTCTCATACCTGGCTTGATTTTACATCCCTTTTGCATGCCTTCCTGTATGAAACCCTGTGCAAAGGAACAGATTCCTCTTTCTTTCTGGCGACCATTTCATGCCTTGCTTTCCAAGACACTGCAGCAACCTCTGGGCCTCCAGCTAGCTCCTGGTCTCATGTTCACCTCCTCCCCCTTCCACCCACAGCACAGGACACTTTCTGGCCCTACAGATAAGGAGAAGAGCTTGGAATTGTTTTCTTTCAGTATGAGATGCCTGTCAGGGAAGGCAGAAATGAGGAGCCTGACAGCCCTGAGCCATAATGGCCCCCCACCAGTTTTCCCCAGCACAAAGACAGCAATCCTTTCATGTGCACAGCACTCACCTGTTCAGATGTGCCCTTGATGCACAACAGAGATTTGCAGATGCAACACAGCTCCCCTGTGGTCATAATCCACGGGCACTGCAGCTTTGATGCCTGGAAGAGGGTGTGGAGAAGAGTCAACTGAAGCAGCAGCTCATGGTGCAACACCTTCAGAGTGTGCAGGAGCCCTTGGGCACCTCCACCCTCAGCACCTCTGTGGCAGAGACAGCTCGTGGGCTTTATCAGCCCAGGCGCTTCCAGCTAAAGGAGGAAATCGTGCCTATCCCTAGGGATCATACCCTCCCCACCTCCCTCCTCATGCATCCCTCAAATGGGGACTCACTGCAGCACCCATCCAACAGGATGTCACTGTCTGGGCACCCCAAGCCAGCAGTGAGTACTGCTCTGAAGGCTGGAAACAGCAGGGCCAGGCAGGTGAACAAAAACCCCAAATGGATGCTCAGAGGCAGCAACACTCAAGTGCAATCCCCTTCTGGCATCCTAGTCTGGTCTGGCAAATTCTGCATCCCTGCAACTTGCACGTGGGAAGCCAGCATCAGCTGTGCTTGCTGTCTGATCTCACCTGCCCCAGAAAACAGGCTGTGCTTTCACTACATTTCCAATAAGATTTGTAACTACAGGCTGTCATGACCAGTCTCTGAGAGCTGGACAGCTCAAAAGCCACCACCACTGCTGGAGAAGGGCACTGCCAGCAACCAGCCAGAACAGGACTTGTTGAGATACAATACAACTGCACCCAAGGAGCACTTGCAGCAGGGTAAATCGGTGCTGCAGCATGACAAACCATAGGTCTAAAACCTCAACAAAAGCTTTTTGTAAAGAACAGCTCCTTCTGGCACCCCATGAGGTCTGCACCAAAGCAGATAGGAAAGCAAGTGAATGCCCTCAGTTGTGGGTATATGCTGAAGTGGTAACATGCTGTGCTCTGCCTGCCTGGAAGGTTGCTGTGTCCCTCCTCCATCTCTGAGGGACACTTGTACCATGACTTGTGTGGCACTGTCAACCAATGGGAAGCAAAATCAGCAACCAACAGCAAGAATCAGTCTGGTGCAGTGGAAGAAAGAGTGTGTCCATGCCAGAACAAACACACAATTTTCACCTGCGTCCTTTCATTCTCTTCCCCGTGTCCCACTGAATTCACAGCCATTTTCTCCCTGGCAACAGCTGCCTTTCAGGAGAATGGATGTATAAGGACAGGCTGACCTGCTAGCACCACAAACCCCTCCCAGCTGAGCTCTCAACGCCAGTCATCAGGTGCTGCCAGCACCAGTCGCTAGAACAAGGGGCTGCACCACCTTTTGCCAAGCCCAGATACTGTTGTTTGAAGCATCGTGCTGGAAAATGCCAGCCCCATGCCAGGGACAGGAAAGTATCACCCAAAGTGTCTTCAAGCACACCCTAAGATCTCCTTGAATATCCTCTGGGAGGAATGCCCAACAGCCTGGGATGGGCAGCAGCTGGGGCATAGCTCTGCTTCTCACCCTCCTGGAGATGCAAGGGGCTGTATCCCAGGGAGGCTCTCTTGGCAGTGTCAAGTGCCTCCCAGGGCAGTTCCTTCCTGCTGAGAGCCCATCCAGCTCACAGTAGAGCTCAGCCTCTGACAGCACCAAGGGAGCCCACCACCTCCCAACAGAACAGCAACCCTGGGACCATAGTGTCCTCCACCCCAAGCAGGCACAGGCAGAAAGCACCTGGGCACCTCTGCCTTCTCCTGCCCTTGAGCCAGGCATTCTCCAGGCCAGAGCCCTAACTCTGGCCACATGGATGGGACAGAGCCAGGCCCAGGGCTTCACCAGCTCAGCTGAGCAGCACAGGTACCATCCCTGTGGACACAGCACATGCGGCTCCATGTGCCCATACCAAGGGTTTGGCCCCTCCTAAGACCACATGATGCTGATTTTTTTTTTTTTTTGGACAGTGTTTCAGACTGTGCTGGTGCCCTAAGATAAGACTCAAAGAGCTCTGCCTCTTAAGTGAAGCCTACTCAGAGCTCTTCCACTCTCTGCCCTGCTCCTGCCAAGGCCCCCTCACTGCTCAGAAAACAGGCAGGACCCTGTGCTTTTGCCAAGATCTCCCAGCACCTGGATCTGGAGCTATGCCAGGCACAGCTTTCCTCTATTTCTTTGCCTGGGGAAGGGCACCATGCTTCAACACCCAAGAAATACCCAGTGCCAAATGACCTGCAGAGAAGGAGTATGTCCCAGGCACTGGGGCAGAAACCCTGTGTTCCTTGGGGACACCGAGCCACCAGAGCCTGACATGGAATAACACAGCCAGGCCTGGTGGGGCTGGGTCAGGGACTTGGCTTACCTGCTGGTTCCATTCCCATTAGCACATCCAGGGGGAAACCAAGATTAACAGACCATGGTCTCAGTCTGGAGGCACCAGAGCAGGATGGCGAGTGAGGATGGGTTCCTGGCTGGGCAATGCAGCAGCAGTAGCACATGCCAGGCTGCAGCCTGCAAAAGGATCTGATGCTGTTCAAGCTGTACTGTGCCAGCCACAGAGAAAGCTGGATGAGTGTGGGGCAGGGAGGTTATCTGTCATGAGGCAGAGCCCTTGGGAGCCTGGCAGGGCTGGTAGCACAGCACCAGTGCAAGGAAGATATCAAGAGCTGTGCCCAAAGTTGCCACCCTTGTCCAGGGGAAATCCAGTGGCTTCCCAGAGCAGCACTGCCTGCCAGTCAAAAGGGACACATGGCCATTGGACCCTAAGAAGCTTTGACCTGGGCACTACTGCCTGGGACAGAGCACCAGCCTGGTGGCTGGCAGGGCCAAGAGGGGTCTGCAGAATTTAGACCACAAAAAACCCCAAATCAATGCCTAAGTGGCTTTTGCTGCCTTCTCTCTTGCTTCCTCTCATGGGAAGTGCTATGGAGAGATTCTGGTGGCCTCACTGGGTGTGAAGCAGGAACCACACAGCCAGGAAGGAGAAGGGCCGTCATTAGAAGAGGCCAAATGATCATCCTCAGAACAAGCAGAGTACAAGGCAAGAGAAGAGGCAACAGAAACTGCTGGAAACAGACTGTCTGGAGAATAAATCATAACTCTATTGGTCCTATCTGAACCCAAGGAGAAGAAAGGAAATCTAAGCAGTGTGAGCACAAACCCAGGAGCTCCCTGGCACAGGCTAAGAGCAGAGCTTGTGAAGTGCCAGCAGGCAGAAAGTTTCTGTCACAACCCTGAAGGATGGCAGCACTAACAGCAATGCTGCCACCAGAGAAGGGCTCCTGCACAGTCTGACAGATCAGGCATCTCACCATCAGGAGAGAGACAGACACGTGAGGCTGGGGACTACCTCCAGCACTGTAGCAGAGGTGGCAATCCCAGGGAGAAGCTGACTAATGAGATGCTAGAGGAGCAAACTGTGCCTGAAGGGAAAAATGACCACTGGCCATGGCTCTGGCACTATCCTGGAATTCAGGCTGGGGAGGAAGGAGCTGACACTTGGGAAACAAGAGTGACGAAGAAGGAGAGGTGGGGGGAGTGGATACAGAGGGAGGGAGCTTCCTTGCCCCACTGCAAGGGCAAATGCTGCTCTCAAGGGTTCTCAGGAGGCCTCCTGCCATGCCAGATTTATGCAGCTGCAGAGCTTCATTGATTGCTAGCCCCTGCTAGGAATGGAAAGGAAGCCCGAGCCCAGAGAGGAAGGATGGGGCAAGAGGTATTGCCCATGTCACAAGTGCAAGCTCCTAGAAACCACCAGACACAGCTTTTACAGAGACAGAGACTCGACACCTCCCTGTGCCCACAGCACCGTGTCCCTGAGGTGCTGCTGCTCCCTCCCATCCCTCGGGAGGCAGCACTGATGGGGTGCAGAAGCCCCCAGGGACAGAGCAGCCCCCTCTGCGGGGGCTCCAAGCTGCAGCAGCCTCCTCAAGGGCTGAGCTCTCCCAGCCACATGCAGTGTCTCCCCAGCCCTAGCACCACATGCAGGTGCCGCAGGGACTGAGGCTTTCCGCTCGGCCAAGTCAGGATAACACAATGAAACCTCTCCTGGGAGCTGGGGGAGCCGGAGCAGAGCTCCCACCCCAGGCACTTACCTCTTCCCTCTGACGCCCCTCGTCCTGGCACGGATCACCTCTGCACACCTTTCCCAGGTGCCTGGCTTGCACACAGCGATGCTGACAATAGCCTGCGGCCGGGAAGGGGGGTTTACAGGGTCTGCAGGCAGATCCCACTATGCGACAGACACCTGTGTAAAGCTTTTCCCCATGTCCAACCCCCTCCCCGCCAACCTCCCCTCCACGCACGGCTGCCCCTCTTCCCAGGAAAGCGCAGTCAAAGAATGAAAAGCAGCTTAAAATCCGGCAGGACAATCGGGCAGCTCTCCAAGGCCGGCAGCACCCCCTGCCCACCCAAGCCCAGCAGGTTCAAACCTCTGCGATACAGCCCACGGCCGCCCAGCTCCAGTGTTCGACCGGGAGCCCAGGAAACCTGCAGCAGGCAGGGCAGGGAAATCCCATGCAGCAGCCGCTTACGGGGAGGACAGCCCAGGTTGAGGACAGACCTTTGTCTCTGCCTGCCTGTCTCGCTCGCTCGCTGCCGGAGGAGGAAGAGGGGGGCGGTGGGGGACAGCGAGCAAAGATAACACCCCTAGGAGGGATGTCACAGCCACGTTAATCACTTGGAATTCCAGCCAGCCCGCCGCAAATATGGGCAGCAAATGGAGATGCTCAAAGCTCTAAAATAATTGGATCCTTTCACAAGAGCCGAGCCCAGAATCCAGCACAGGAATTCAGTCCCCGCTGGAAGTCGAGAGATCAAATACATGGAGAGGCAGGCGCAGCACAAACAATCCTCAGCCACCTCTGTATCCAGCTCCATAGCCTTTGGCGCTGCTTTAATCTCAGGTGCCTTCCCAGCGGGAGCGAGGGAGGACCACAGCGGAGAGCCCGGTGCCCAGCTGAGGACCGGCCCCTTCCCAACCAACTTACTCGACTTGTGGCAAGGTGCAGAAGCGCTGTCAATGCAAAAGAGGGTTTTGGGAGGGAGAGCAGCTGCCTCGAAGCCTTGCTCGACCGGAGGGACGGTCCATGGGATGGAGACCCCTGGAGCTGCTGTTTGGCCTCCGCTGCCCTGCAGGGGATTTGC